CCATGGAATACCTTGACCTATACAAAAGTTGGTGTGCATAACTGGTAACAGAATTCAGACAGTGCATGTCATGACACAGCGTAATACCATACCGACCTACCTTAACAGACGCTAAGATTAATGACATTGCGTTTCCGAAACACAGCTTTGAGCTAAAGCTTTGCACAATGCCATAGTATGTCTTAGGTAAATAGTAAACACGTCAGAAATCGATACAATCTTAAAGTCATTGTCCCGCTACTTATGGAGGTATTCGCGCCTCTTTCATTGCCAGTATTCGCCTTGCACATTAGCAATCAAGGCAATTGGGTCAGTCATGCAACATGCTAAAAATTATCGAAACATGATTTACCTACTTTCTTATTCTTCACATGCCGTGATCGATATATTGAAGCCAGTGAATGAGAAGATATCGGTTCAGATTGTAAACACGCTTCACGTTCAGTGGTCATAAAATATTAAATTTAATTTGTACAGTGTGGCTCAATAAGAACCATAAGAACTCTAAATTTATAGTACCTGTAATAGGGCAGTTATTACTATCCAACTATGATTCACATTGTTTACAAAATATAAATAATAATTTCATTCTCAAAATTTCATAAGATTGTTTTTATTTTCAACTCGATGCATGTTCAATTTGTCACTCAAAATTTCATGGTTAGACCCAATTGAGATGCTACCTCTTCCGAAATTTATCTAACAGTCAATCGGCGATTTGCAAGCACAAGATCTTTGACTTTGTGAACGTGGGACTCATGGGCCGTGAACTCAAAGGCCGTCATGGGCGAGGATCATCTGCAATTGCTGACGACGACTTTTAAATCGTGAAAACCATTCGTAACATTGCGTAAATCATCTACGTAAGCTTATTTCAAAAGTTGAAACGTTTCCGTGAAAATGTTTTCCAGTTTCGAGAAAAATTTTACGTTGCATCGTTGTTCCGGAAAATCACACATTTCAAAAATCACCACTAACACTTAAACACGTTGCACTCAAATAACAATATCACGAAACCTAAATGAGTTATCAACGATCCAAACATGTGGTTACAGAAGAGTTTATTCACAATGCAAATAAGATCCAATTCTTATTTGTGGAAGGGCGAAATGGGCGGTGACTATTAGACGCCTTCATTATAGCCATCTTTCTCTATCGCACGGATTTCTATGACTTTCTTTATCGCTCTCACGTAACGGCCGATGAACCATGGGGACTTTCCGACCCTGTAGAATAGTTGCCCAACAAAATCATTAGTTTATTTCTCTTAGTGCCTACAGATTAGGGAGTTGCTCTCTTCTGGTAGATACAAAACAATATTTTGTGTCAGTAGTGTAGGTTATATCTCACTCACACATAAATTTTAAATGAAAATAATGAGTTGTGGTGCCGTAAGCAACTAGTTTGCAATCTTGGAGAGATCGTTTAAAGAGTAAATAAGTTGATATGCAAAATCTCGATTATGCTTTTTTGCAAATAACATTAATTTGCGAATTGCATTTTATAATTCCTGCTAACTCATCACATTGATGATACGATAAAGACTTTTTGTACTGACGACTTTCATTGTTTCACTTGTTTTTTAATAATTTTCTCAGTAAAATACACGTTTCCTTAATGAAAACTGAACTTTTATCTAAAAAAGGTTTAGCGATTTTACTGTCTACTACACCCTATTTCAACCATAAATATTCACCAGCTTTTGTGTAGTATGTAAATCAAAGACAGTTCCAGATTGTCACAATAAGTTTAAACCAGTCTCGTTATTGTTAGTTTTAAACACCATTTGGCAATTTCAAGATTTTGATTATTGAAAATGCTTATTATTAATGCATTCTACCTGTCATTAAAAAATGCCCTCGAAAACACCATGTATAGTTATAATTTTTACAACACGCTTCGACATAATTAATAGATATCTTAACAACGAAATATAATTTATACTTTATTTTTACATTTACATAAGGTTAAACTGATCGATATAAACAGAGCAATTACATGCAAAATAAAACGATATTTTATGCATTTTATGCATGAGAAGATACTCTGATAACAATTCCTGTTCTGGTAATATTTTCACATTGGCAATTAATACTGTTGTATTACTAAATACGGCAGCCCATATTTAACTACTGCAGAAATAAACTTTCAGTAATTTATTTAATTGGATGTTTTGGTTAGATAGGTTTATAATAAAATAACTAAATTGGACATTCTACTTTGATTATTTACTTGAAGTTCTGTTCCTGTTATAAACTAGGTAGACATATTTTCATCATTTTACAACTGTAGTTAATAATTCGGTATTTACTCTTCTTCCTGCAACAAAAATTAACATTTTTTTAAATAGATCAGTTGGAAAACGTTTCGTAGTCTATGGGTGTAACATATTTCATCTTAATAACTTTGAGGACAGACGGAAGTGAAAAAAATTGAATCATGTATTGAAAACTCAATTGTTTCTGAAATACAGTGATCAAGTTAGACCAGAAATATTATGTCTGAATAAATGTCTGAAACACTTGGACTACATTTTTTTAATTTTGCATGTGAAAAAAATGAACAGAGTTTAGGACAAATAAATATATATTCTCTTTATATTGTTCTACATGCTTACGAAGTTAATAAGATGCAATCTTTTACACCTTATCACATATTTTTTAATTAAATATGAGACATTATTTTCAACGGTATTTACTTGTTATACTTCATACATTGTTTTTCTTTGTTTTAGTTATTTTGCCACGATGCAAATTAAAGCATTATCAAAATAAAAAAGATGTAAATAAACTCCTATTCCACAAGAATCAGTCGGAGGTTGCTTTTAAACATATTTTTCTTTCTTTTAAAATATCGCTATTAAAAGTAAATGTATCAGCTTTCCACTTTCATTTACTAAAATTATAAAATGTGATAGTTTATAATTCAGATAGTCTTTAGTTTTTTTATATTGTTCCCTTGATGTTCACTAATTCTGACACTTAGAAGTGTCAATTTTTTACCGACATAATGTTTATTGGGCTCATAGGAAACAATATAATGAATTTTTTTAGTTTTTATCACTAATTTTTTATCGAGTTACGGATGAAATAAATCGTTCTATGTTAATGGTACAGCTTGACAAAATTCACACCTGATAATTTCAGTTGTGCAGTAGTAAAGTTACCAGATAACACCGGAGCTCATTCTCTGTCCTACTATTAAAGTCTTCTGTCCTAGTCACTTCTACTGTGGGACGCATCTCGCGGACAGTATGAGTTTAATCAAGACTTTTGGTATCAAAAAACATTGTTTGACTTCGTTGTATAAGATTTGAGCAAAACGTTTTTAAATTTACATATTTGTCGCCACGGTAGCGTAGTCGGTCGAGAGTGCGGTGGCAAGCGGTCAGACTTCCTATTCTGGTCCGGGTTCGATCCGTGGCATCGGCACTGGCAATGGCGATGGATAATGAGTGTTTGTCCGCATTTTTTCAAGTGTAGCCCCCTCCGCACAGCCTTTGGCTTTGGATTTGGGGGTTATCTCATTTCTGTGGTGTCTTTTTATGTATTAGATAGTTTAAATCTACAAAATGAAATAGAATATTACAGGTACTTTTTTCAATAATTCGATAAAAAAAATACAAAATTAAAAAAAAAAACTGTTTTACGGCTTTACAAGATATCTACATTCTACATATTTGCAATTAGCGAATATCAAAATGTTACAGGATGTCCCCAGAAATAAGTACCAAAATTTAACCACCTCTTGAACTCATAGAAATTGTAATAACTTTTGTTCGATAATTGTTTCAAAAACTGGAGCTTGAATCGATAATAAACATAAAGAAAAGACAAAAATAGTACTTAATTACTGTTAATATTTGCTATTTATACAAACAAATTTAAGATAGTAGATCACTCCATAAAATATTAGCATATGTTAATTACCAAAATATATTTTTTTAATCCATAAGCAGCTCGTTAGCGATATTTTAATGCCAAATGACAAAGGTTATTGCTTTTGAGGAGCTAATATGTGGGTTAAAATTTTGGCACTTATTTCCGGGGCATCCTGTATAATCAGGGAGGATTAGAAAATTAAAATAATTAAGAACTTGCTTGAGAAAACGAGCATATTAGCATATGAAACTCTGTGAAAATTTCGAAAGAAGAAAAAGAAAACTAAAGTAATCAAAACGTTAGATAAATGTGTTTTTCTACAAAACTGTTAAAAGTGGGCTTTTTAATTGTCATTTTTGATGTTAAAAATGTCATTTTTTGACACGCGTGTTAAAAGTAAGTTACTTTTAACGTTTGTGTTAAAAATAACTTTCTTTTAACACGCGTGACAAAAAAATGACATTTTTAACATCAAAAATGACAATTAAAAAGCCCACTTTTAACAGTTTTGTAGAAAAAATAGTGTATGATATACGTGTTAAAAGTGATATTATTTTGTTCGTGAAGTTAAAAAACTCGCTACGCTCGTTTTTTAATCATCTTCACTCACAATATAAAATCTTATTTTTAACACGTATATCATAAATAGCTATTTTGCTATTTAGCTTTTTATCAGTACTGGTTGCAGATCATCAAAGATGAATGGTAGATTCTAAATCAAATGCAATACATGCAATTTAAATGTATTCAATAAATATTGTTAGATGATATCTCATCTGTCTATGAAATTAGATAAACAAGATATGAATGAAACAGTTACTTTTAACAATGTAACGAAAAGTAAACGCAGAAAATAAAAATGGAATTTAGAAATTAAATATACAGTATGGTGAATGTTTTGCGGTGAAGCACTTTGCTGCTTTTTATTGTGAGATTTAAAGTAACCAAAAATTATTTTATTAAATTTAATTGATCATTGTGAAATAGGAGTTTAGGTATTTACCTATTATGCTACAGATGTTTCATTTTTAGCGTGACAAAATACCCAAAAAGAAGGGAAACTGCGAGAGAAATAAAACCTTTCGTACATTATTTTTTTACATGTGCTACTAATTTCAGATACCAGATCACCCGAACCCCTACAAATTGTAATGGGAATCAAGATGGAATTTCTGCCCCATATCGTGCCACAAATCAATCAACGAGCAACAGGGGAACTGCAGAGAGAACGAATCGAGTGCCTGTGATGTTCACTAGATTTCTGAAACCATTGAAAGGTCAGAGCGCGGCACGGGCCATTTATTCAAACGGCATGTAATAGCATCTTCTGCCTCTGGTCCTCCAACGGGAAGTTAACCAGACGGGCCAAACTGGTTTCAGAAACAACAGTTGACCCGACAAGAATTCAGCTTATTCCACCAATACACATCTGTTTAGTCATGTAGGTTTGACAGTTGCTATATCTGAAATCTTGCAAATACACAAAATCGTATTTTTGTCATGGTTTTTTAGTGCCCGGAAGTAACAACACTAGAAATAAGGAGAAAACAAAATTATAATATTTATTATTTTCGTACAGAATTTCATAGGTATTCCTTTGGAATATATTTGATGAGTTAAATCAAATTATTAGTTTTTTGTTATTTTAATTTGAAATTTTGTTCTATAATTATATTTTAGGCGAACAATCACTAAATGTATGTTGCCATACTGTTGCCGCACAATAGATTGCGAATTAGAATAGATAAAATTCTGTAAATTCAATCATTTTCACGTCTTCATCTTAAGGTATACAGTGTGTCCAAGATAAGGAACTACCCGGAATTTTAAAACTTTCTAAACGGCATATTGTTAGATATGAGAAAACACAACTTTTTTCTAATTTGAGCCACGCCGTATCTCTTACCGTTTTCTAGATTCTAATGCTATCCCATCCTTACCTTGGACACGATGTATAGATCTCCTCGATAATTGGAAAAAATAGATAATATTTCTTTTGCAAAGCATTCAAAATAATTTATACACCAAAAACATCAAAAGGTAACTGCATGAAAATTTAGTTTCTTTAAAAACTGCATTTATATTTAGTCTATAACCGATGAAAGTAAATTACTACAAATTAATTAAAGAATTTTAAAAATGTATAAAGAACGCATCGTGACGTCATTTAGTGCGACCGAGAATACAACCTGTTTCTCGGCGATCTTCTCATTTTACCTGGATTTGGAATAATTTCTCATATTATTAACCAAGAAAGAGGAAAAAAAGAAGCCTTTGGGACTTTAGGAATAATTTATGCAATAATAGTTATTGGACTTTCAGGATCTGTAGTTTGAACCCATCATATATTTACTGTTGGAATAGACCTCGATACTCGAGCTTATTTTACTTCAGCAACTATAATTATTGCTGTTCTAACTGGAATTAAAGTATTTAGATGATTAGCTACTTTACATGGAACTCAACTTTTCTATAGACTAGTCTTTCTTTGAGCCTTGGATTTGCATTTCTATTTAACAGGAGTAGTTTACAATTTCCAATACGGCGAGATTAAATCTAATCTAAAGAAATGCGCATGAGGGGAGCCTTGAAGCAAAGCATTAGTTGGATGTCTCTCGACTCTTGTTACTTGCTATTAACCGTTAATCATTAATCTTCTCAATCGCACTAAATGACGTCACAAATTAGCACGGCACCCATTTAAAACATTTATTTTTGCTCCAAATTTTAGTACTTAATCACTATATATTATAAAACAAAGTCCTCCGCCGCGTCTGTCTCTCTGTCTGTTCACGATAAATTCAAAAACTACTGCACCCATTTTCCGAGAGTGGTTCTCGAGGAAGGTATTAGTATATAATTTGTTAAGTTTTTGTATACATTAACGATATTTGTTGGAGATGTCTGTAAAAAATAAGCCGTCTGGGAGCTTTCAACGAAAACGCTGCCTAAACCCTTTGAGATATAACAAAATAATGTATGGTGGAATTGTGTATCTTATATAGGTCTACAGAAAAGTCCACGATGGCATATGTCTATCTCTTAAGGATAACATACTATATCCATTTTAATACTTTAAAAAATGGGCAATTATAAAGCGGTAATTGGAAAGCTATTTACACAAATACGGTATTAATCCTTATCATTTTAAATACGTTAGTTGGCTTGAGCATTTCATGAAGATTATTTTTTCCCTTTACACCATGCAAATTAAATGAATACCTTAGGAGATATAGCAAAATCAAAATAATGCGCAACGAAATTAATTTCGTGTCGCCGTGATTCGACCGGGCCGCGCGGGCGCCCCGTGACCCCGCGCCTCGCGTCCGAGCCGGGGGGGTCCGAAAGTTTATGTAGTGTATCAATGTATGGTGGAATTGTGTATCTTATATATGCCTACAGAAAAGTCCGCGATGGCATATGTCTATATGTTAAAGATAACATACTACCTATATCCATTTTAATACTTTAAAAAATTGGCAATTATAAAGCGGTAATGTAAAAGCTATTTACACAAATACGGTATTAATCCTTATCATTTTAAATAAGTTAGAGGCTTTAAGCATTTCATGCACATTATTTTACTCTTTTACACCATATAATTTAAATGAATATCTTAGGAGTAATCGCAAAAAAATTACGGACGCGAGAATAAAATTCAAGCGCCTCGCTTCGCTTGATGCGATCGCCGACCCTCCCCCCGCACCGTCTTGCCTACTGTTTAGCTAATAAGCCGAACGATAACGCGCGCGTGATCCTTTAATAAACTGACTTGGAGCGAATGGAGGTGACGACTGACGACTGTGTTTTCTTTCTGGGTGTTGTTGGAAAGTTATAATTGCGTTCGATATTTTAAGGTCACATTTTTGTTTTGTATTTGTTGTCTTTAGGTAGTCGGAACATACATAGATACTTGCAAACATACTTTTATTTCATTGAGTTTTAATAATTTGTTTGTTTTTTTCTTATTGTGAATCATTTAAAACTTCATAGTCGCATTTTTGTTTCGTGTTTGTTTTCTTTAGGTAGTTAGATACCTAACTACTTACTTATTAATTAAAATTGATAGTCCTGAACATAGGTACTTTAATTTAATTCGTTTTGTTTTCACATTGTTGGTAGTTACCTATATTGTTTTAAATTTAAAGGTTTTGCATTTTTAGTTTTGAGTTCGTTTGTTGTCTTTAGGTATATAGATATATCGTGAATTATTTTAAAATTAATATTAGGGTCGCATTAGATGAAAGATGATTGATTTTTTGTTTGTTACGATTTAACTCAAAAACTACTCAACCAATTTTACCGAAAGCTACATCTCCTCGGAGTAACATAGGCTATTTTATATTTGCCCGTGCGAAGCCGGGGCGGGTTACTAGTTATTAATAAAACTCTTCTATCTAGTCTTATTATTCTACATTCAACTTGTGAATGATGTCAAACTTTAAAACCTAAAAAACTATACTATAAATCAATTTCGAAAATGAAATAATTTGTTGAGATATTACATGAAGAAATTGAATATATTCGAAAGCCCTAATATTTCCAAGTTTCTAATATGACTTAAGTTAAGCTTCAAACAATAATATTTAAGTTATTAAGTTAAAATGCTTAGTGAAGATTTAAAAACAGTATAAAAAAGGTGCACAAAACCATCTCATTCTAATTATTAATTATAAATACTCAACTTGTGGGGGCGACATGACGATATGCCATCAGCGGCGCTATAATTAAAAATTACTTAAACAAAAATATTCTGAAAACTGTATCGGAGCAGACTGAGATGGCCAGCGCGGTTGCCAAATTTAACACCACTTGATTTTTTCTTACGGAGAATTTTTAAATGAAATGGTAGTGAATGCAGAGCCAATAGTATGAACTGGATTTCCAAAATTTGGGTGGAGATATTTTATTCAACATGTTTCAGAATGTTAGATAAAACAATTCTTATGTTCGGAATAGCGCTGACTTGCCGGAAACAAAAAAAAAATCTTAAAGTTAAAGAAAATATTAAATTTTACTGCGGTTAATAAAATATTTATTGCTTTAAAGAAATGATCCTGAATATATTGTGTCCAAGGTGGGATCAGCTATAAAGTATTCCTAGAAAGGTTTCTCTCATCTTACTGAAATGGGTATATTGCTGTATAAAACATCCATGCATTCTTAGAAGTGATCCTTCAGGATGATAGGTTCTTCAAAATAAAAACATCGAAAGGAGAATAAAAAGAAATTCGTTTTATACTAGCAATAAGAACCTTAAAGTAAAGATTATTACTTTTACTATTGTTATATATACCTAAGTTTATCTATTGTAGATTAACAGTGTAATGTTTTATGCAGTGAAATATACAGGGTCGGAACGTCCCCATGGTTCATCGGCCGTTACGTGAGAGCGATAAAGAAAGTCACAGAAATCCGTGCGATAGAGAAAGATGGCTATAATGAAGGGGTATAATAGTCACCGCCCATTTCGCCCATCCACAAATAAGAAGTGGATCTTATTCCATATGGTCCAGATGGAACAGGTATCCCGAATGAATCTAGGAAACAAATCATTGATATCTTAAATATAATTCTATCATCAGAGCAAGTTTGTATCCAAATATAGAAAACTTGCGTTAACAAAGCTTTTTTAATTACCAATCAATCATATTAAAATGAATGTTTGACAAAAATCAATCTAAACGTTAGCGGTAGAAAATATAAAGCATTTTACTTTAATTTTTTACCCATATCAGACGCAACTACAACAAACCTACAAAGAAAATGGAAAATTAACTGTTACAATATATAATATAACGCACATGTCCATTTTACCTCAGCGTTAATATTATTATGACATTAAGTGTAAGATACCAGTGCTTTTAATGCAGACCACAACAGCGATTAATATGAACCCACGCTAAGACAATGACTCATTACTATTAAGGATAAACTCATTGGCAGTATTAGGTCATAAAAATTAATAAAAAACTAAATATATTCCACATTATAGCATATAACAGCAGCTTTGTGGCCAGAGATGTTTTTCTTTCTTAAATAAACTTTTAATGCAAAAATGAGCTGTTTAAATTATTATACGAAAATCTAAATTATAACGCAAAAATTTTCTGTTTTGAGCAGTGAATTTAAAAGCGATAACATTAAAACTAAATAAGTCTTTAGTATAGATACTAAAAAAATCTCGTCAAAAATAAATTTTTGAAATGCAAAATTTAAATTAGTTAGAAATAGCCAAATAATGCAAGTAATAGGTGGTGGGTGATTCACAGATGGTTACAAAAATTAAACCTCGTATTTTTTGGTAAATTATCTAGGACGCTTTGTTAAAAAGATACAGGGTAATATTTTTAATTTTTTTAAATAATTTAAAAACTAGTAAGCGCAATAATTTGAAATCGGGACGTATTTGTATAAACATTGCCCAAAATTTGAGGGTTTTTCCTAAGATTTACATGTTCCAGTGGCGGAGATACAGGGTGGCATATTTTTCTAA